TACCAGCATCACACACTCTAGATCCAGCTACCTCTGAAATGCCCCACCTATTGCCAAATGACGCTGTGGGGTTATAACTAGACACAAGCCATGACAACTTCAAAACACGTATTTATTTATCTAGATACCAGATTTTACATTTACCACATATCCAACTACACATTATAAAACACACAAACAAGGGAGATAGATATGCTAAACTGATTTAAATATGGCAAATTGTATGCATATATTGAAGCATTATATGGTACCACACTTATATGTACCATATTATACTTTATGTATTAATTTAAGAACAAAAATACTCTTAAATTTAAAAACATACACACAGAACTCTTTAAAAGTAACTTAATCATAGAATAAATTATATTTGCTCTTCTCTTGCTTTTCATAATGCATCATACTATCATCAGTTTATATCTCAAATTACTATACTGAAGTCAAGTCTCTTTGAATCAAAGTGATATGAACCCATATTTCAAATGTCCTGTTAATCATTCCAATGGGAAGGAGTTGACTTCTTGTAAGACAAGTAAAATAGATCATTAGCATTGTTAATTCCCAGTATGAATGAAAATACAATTCCACCAACTTTTTGGTGTTGCTTATGCTTATATATAATTAATGTCAACTTTTTCATAAAAATATGTTTAAACTACTTTTCCATTTTGTGACTCATGGTTTGGTTAAAATGAGGCAATAAAATCTGTAATGAACAAATGTAAACATCAATAAAAAGCAGCATAATAAAAAAGGAAGAAGAGTGGGGCACTGTGCCACTCTGCATGCTCCAGAACTCCCAATGGTTCCTCCAGATACCACCGAAAGGAAGGATAAAGACCAGCTGAGCCATGGACAAGTGAGTACACCTTTGTCAACCTGAATGTCTAATGTTTACATGAGTATTTTTTAATAAAAACATAAATGGAAGCTTTAATATTTATTCTCCACAGGCTACTCTAAAGGTCAAGAGTGTAAATCCTTGTCGTAGTAACAGAAGCTGTTATCCAACATTTTCCTTGAACATCAGTGGGTCATGGTCATGTGGCAGGCACCCAATTGCAAAAGAATTCTTCAGTGTGACCAGGAGGGACCTTCCATGGAGTTTAGAACATGCTCCCTCTCTTGGGAAACAGTGTTTCTCACCATGATGACCAGATGCTGCTTTCTCCTCTACGGATCAACCATTCATGACCCGACGGGGATAAAGGGGAAAGTTGTGAACACTTAACCCAAACACTTATTCCATTCTCAGGGTCAAGATAAGACTGATTTTCAAGGCCTCATTTATTCTGGGAGGTACTGCAAACTTTTACTGGTAAAGGTCACACCCTTATATAATGCGGTCATATGCCTGATCCTGTGATTAGGGATTTTGGGTGAGAGTGGAGTGTAACTGAGCTCCACATTTCTTTTACATCTTTGTGATGTCAGGGCTGCCATTACACAACACCAGAGCCCAGGTGCCTTTATTGCTCACTGTTCTGTAGGTTGTGCAGCACAAGATCACTGTGCTGGCCAGTTCTGGTTCCTGATGAGCTCTCTCTTCCTGGTTTGCAAGAGGCACCTTCTTTTCATCGTCTGTTCATGGGGGTCTTCCTTGGTGGAGGCCCTGGACAGAGCAAGAGAGCTCTCGGTGTCTCTTTTTATAAGAACATTACCTTACCTTGATAGCCTCTTTCACCTTAATTATTTCCACAAAGGCCCTAACTCCAAAGATACATTTGGGGGTTAGTGCTTCAACCTAGGAATCTTAGGAGTGCACAAACCTTCAGTCTACAGCATACACTCACACCCTGATACTCAGCTGCCTTGAAACTCATCAGATTTGGTGCTTAATGCAAATTTGGTGAGCAAAGTTTGTCCCATACTTGATGTTTGCTTGGTGCTTAATGAGAAAAGTATCATTTCTCAAGGCTCGTGGCCCCATGAGCCACTGCCCTTCCCAGCCAAACACTTTGGTATTTTTTGTTTTGGTGCAGGCCACACCTGCTGGAAACCGTGACCAGAACCAAGGTATCACAGCAGTTTATGTGCTTTCAACACATATTCAAGCGCCTTCTGTGGAACTGACACCACAACAAATTGCCACTGTCATTCTCAAAGAGAACAGCAGGTAGTGTGTGTGGGTGTGAGTGTGTGTGTGTGTGTGTGTGTGTGTGTGCACGCTTGCATGTGTAAATGACAGGCCATCTCAAAATTTTATTTTACTAGAAACAGAAGAAAATAATGATACAGAAAAGAATTACATTTGTTAGTGGCAATGAAGGCTACAAAACCCCTTCAGTGTCACTTTACCTACTATATAAACTCTAAGACCAAGCCAACTACACCGCTCCAAAGAGTTGCTGGGTCTTCTCAATCATCTGCTCTTCAGTCAACATACTCTTCGGTCTGCAGAGTTTCACCTTAGTTGACATTCATAACCATACTACACGTTTACCGTACTTCATAACTCTTAGTGCTATTTCTACTACAAATGCTAGATACCACTGGCCCCGCATTATTTAAGCTCTAGCACAAACAGTAAAACTGAAGAGCTAGGCTACAATTTTCAAATCTTATTTTCAATGATTGCAGACTGCCTCTCCTATAAACTTTTATACCAGCTGTTAAAGTCTCTTCAAATTGATTTTGTTGCATCTTATTTTCACTTCTCGTTCCCATCACAGGAGAAATGAAGCAGTGTAAAAAGCATGGACATTCTGGACAGAAGGAGGTGCAGGGCAACGGCGGCCTAGATCATCTGGGTCACCAGAGGCTCTGAATTATTCAGACCGACCATTGTTAGACAGCTCAGTGCGGAGTTCATACGTGTGTGTGTGTGTGTGTGTGTGTGTGTGTGTGTGTTTCTAATATTAACTTTTTCTTTAAAAATTGAGTTCTCTAAACCCTTTTGCCTAAATGTCAGGCGTGGGCTTTGGAAGATGGACAGGCAGCAGGCAGCATCCGAGGCTGCAGGAGGGCCCTTGTGAACTGCAAGGACGGAGAGACAGGCTGTGTGTGGTTTGTGATGTCAGCAGAACCTGCAGATGGAATCCTTACGAGTTTCCATCTCTTGACCTGAGGACGCCCCTGCCAGAAAACGCTGACCCTCAACATCGTGGCCAGAAACTTTCCTAGATTTGGTCACCGCGGGAAAGAAGCCGCCCCTCCGGCCCTCCCGACTCCCCGCGAACCCCAGAGGTGGGTGCTGGGGACGCCCGCCCTGGGGCCCAGCCGGAACCGGCCCGAGGGATCGGATGGGTGGCGGAGCCCCGGCAGAGGGCGGGGTCGGGGCTCCGCCTGCGGTTTCACCCGGAGGCGCTCCTGCCTCGGCCACCCCGCCGGCCCGGAGCGCGGCGCGCCGCCTGCAGCGTGCCCACCAGGTAGCGCAGCCGGCGGGCGGGCGGGAGCCCCGGGGTGGGCGTGGCGTCGGGGTCGCGGCCCGGGGCGGGCGGCCTGGCTCCCCCGTGCTGCCGAGCGCAGGCCTGCGCAGGGGTGGCCCGGGGACAGGTGGCGCCTCCGGGCCCCCCTCGGCGTCCCGCACCGCAGACGCACGGTGGCGCACGCACACACGGCGGGCGGGCGGGCGGCCGGCGGGGATTAGAGGGATAAAGTCACCGCCCCGGCCGGCGGCATCCGGCAGGACGCAGCGGTGCCCGCCCGGTCCTCTGCGAGCCAGCGGCGTCCGCGCTCCGGGGATGCGGGGGGCTGGTGTGTCCCCCCTTGGTGTGCCCGCCCCGAGAGCCCCAGATCGTAAAAGGGTCCGGGTCAAGAATAAGGCTGGCGCCTTGAGGCCTCCTTTGCCCTGCTTTCCAGCAGCCTCTGGGATCAGGAGGAGGAAGGGTAGGTCACAGAACTTGTAGAAAGTTTCAAGTTAGTGGTCCAGGAAGGGTAGTTTTTTGGTTGTTATTGTTTGGTAGGTTTTGTTCTTGTTTTTGTTTTTGTTTTTGTTTTTGTTTTGTCTTGTATTTTTCTTTTTCCTAATTTGTGCATTCTCAAGAAAAAACATATTAACTCTCTTGATTTGAATTAGGCTTTACTTTTCACCATACATGCGTGTGTTTTAAGGGAATTAATGATAACTGGTGGGATCAAATGAGCCCAGCAGGTGTGACGATGAAATTTAAAACTAAGCTTGCTGGATAGATTTAGGAAATGTGACTGCTTCTTTTTGTGTCTTTTCTTGTGCCACTGAGGGTATTATGCTGGGAAGTCTGTGCTATCACATCGCCTTGCAGCTGGTCACCCCTCCCCCAAGTGCCACCTAAGCTGGGGCAGAACCTAGTGTATTCCTGCTTTATCAGTGTCCTGTCAGGTGTGTCTCAAGCCTCTTCTGCTTACTCCAGGGTTAGTCTCTGGTGAGGACAGAAAATAGGTGTACTTCTGGGAGCAAGCAGAAATGGTGCAAATTTCCCCCATCTTTAAAGTTTTCATGTAGTGGTAATTTGAAACCCAAAACATTGTTTACCACCTGTCAAACTCACTACAAAGTGTGGGGATTAACTAATAAAAGATTCGCAAAATGCTTCCTGAATCTAAAATTCTATAAATATGCTAAATAGTAATAATCCACCCATTGTTAAATTTATGTAGCTGCTTCTGCCATGCATACAAGATGATTTAGATGCAAGTTTCCTGTCAATTAACCAAGGAGTTTGAAGTAAAATAATGAGTTCAATTCATATCCTATGAAACTTTGAAATAAAACTTCCCCCATAAGGCAGCATCAGCAGAGAATCATAAAGTGAGCAGCATTTTGAAAAGCTATATCTGGAATGGCATTTACCTTATGGTTAGGGGAAAGGGACCCAGTGAACTTTTGAAACTAAGAAGTATTTACCTCTGATTCATGTGTACCCAGACCATAAACATTCCCTAACATTGAGGGAGGGGCAAGGGAGGGTCGTCCCCCCCCTCCGCCCCCCTCCCCCCCCCCCCGGGTCTGTGGGGCAGGCTAATAGCTGTCAGCTTTAATCTATGAAATTGCCTCTTGATATTTTAAGGCTGAAGTTCAGTCTGTGGTTTTGTTCATAGACAATAAAGAAAATCATCCTAGTTACTTGAATAAATTATTCATTCCTCCAATATCATGGATTTGGTTTTTAAACCCCCTTAATATCAGCTATTATTTTAATATCCTGTAGTTAATTGGCTTGTTCCCAGTCAATTGAGTGACACGTTAACATAACATTTCTCTCTTACTATGTTTTTAATAATAAAGTGTGTCTTTCTGTGTAGTGGTATCCTAGAGCACAGCCTATTTCTTACATGCAAATTCTAAGTATAAATATTGATGTGAGTCATTTTTCCTGTTTTATGAAGACAACTCTAGATTCACCACTAGCAGATTAAGCTGTGAGCAAAACCATGAAGTTGAGGACATTTTTCCTTGGTGTTGTCCCACTTTAGTGGGCTTTTCTCGTTTCCTCCTCGCAGGTCTCTGATAGGTAGGTGCCACCTAAGCCCCAGTCCTGTATTCCAGAACCTGCGTTCTGCCACCACCCCTCCTTTCTGCAAGCCGCTGGCCTGCTGCTGTACTTTGTCTTTTGTCTGTACTTCCCAGCAGCTTGGTGTGGGTGAAAGTGCACTAGGTGACAAACAAAAGAGCTGGCGCTTATTGGGCACCACGCCACATTAGCTCATTAAATAGCTGTAACCGTTTGACACGGTAGATGTTGCCTCTTGCCACACCAAAGAAAACGGAGGCTCGCAGAAGCAGGCAAACAGTTCCTGGAACGAGGCAGCCCAGCACTTCTCTAAGTAGGAAGACCTCACGTCTGGACTAAAGTGTGGAAGAGTTCTCACATTAGGCAGGCTGACTTCAGGTGGGTCCCTTAAACTTCTGAGCCTCTCTTCTCCTCTCCTTAAATTTGAATTATCTCTCAGAAATGGAAGGCACCTTTCCAGAATTTTGATTGCCAAAATCTATTCGTTCCATAGGATTCTAGAATATTACCTGCCCCTTCCTCCACCCACCTCCCTACCCCATTTATATGTCTTACTTTAGATGTAAGTAAATCTTACCTCCTCCTTTTCCTAAGCGTACTTCTGTGATTCTTTATCTTGAGCCTTAGACATCCTTTATATGACTGCTTACAAATAAAAGTTGTTTTCTTTATATCTCAGTTTACACATGCTTGGTTATCTTCTCCCCAGTCAGAGTACAGGCTGCTGGAGGCCAGACCTCATTTTATTTGACTTGTTTTATTATTAATTCCTAGGGGCCAGAACAGTAACAGATAGCACATAGTTGGTGACCAATAAGTGACTTTGAATGAATAGTTTTCTCTTATGAAAGATCTGTGTGAATGGCCAAGAGATTGTCCCTTCCTTGGAAAGTCCTAAATGAAGCACCATTGATCTTCCACTGTTAGAGAGCACAAGCTTAAATTATGAATGGAGATCCCAGTATAGTGACAGAGACAACAGGGTTGCCCTCAGGAACACAGAACAAACGGATGGACTGCATGTGGGCCAACCCCCGTATTTTACAGCAGTAGAAACTGAACCTCAGAGCAATAGAAACTTATGTCTGGAAGATACTTGTTAAAAGCTTTTTAAAAGTTATATGTCATTGTTTTATTGATGAGAAAATTAACCTCCCCCCAAAAAAATATAGCCCCAAAATAATGAACCTAAGCCCCCTGACTTCCAGACCAATGTTATTCTACCAGAAGGCCAAGACTGACTGGGGACCACTCAGTCAACAGTCACAGGAAAGTTTGAACATTGGTGCACTGGTCTAAAACCCCAAGGACTTGAGGTTGTCTGGCCCCATTCTGGGTAAGGGTATTAGGACATTCTATTCTAGTCTATTTTTCTCTGTCTTATGTAAACTTTAGTGACTCATCTACTATTTTAATGACCTTTCAGCCAGCCTTTTTAATACCAACCATTAGTTTACCAATCTCTTTAAATGCTTAGAATCTCCAAAGGAGAAATATGCAGTGCTGAGCATTTAACACCAGTGTAAGAGACTCAAGACATATTTGAAAGTTGATACTTTGAACTTCGAAAGATAGTTCGAAGTGTCATTAAGGACTAAAATGAAAATTTAGCTCCTTTGACTTATGTAACAATCTTTTCTAGACTATTAGATCCATAAACAAAAGTCCTGTGAAAGGCTTTTTTAAACCAAGATTTCTTGAAGTCATTCTGCACAGTTCTGAATGAATAAGGCTAGAGTTGCATCCAGACAGCTGCATTTTTAGCAAACACTTTTGGTGATCTCTCAACAAAATGGTCTAAAGATCTGATTTTAAAGTCCAATAATAATGTTGGTATATTTTAAATTTTTCAGTATTCCACCTGTGAGAATTTTAAAGAAAAGGAACCAGGTGTGGTGGTGGTGCATGACTGTAATGTCAAGTACTTGGGGTGCTGAAGCAAGAGGATCCTACATTTCAGCTCAGCCTTGACAATTTAGGGAGAATTATTTCAAAAACTTTAAAGCCTCCTTGGGTTCAATCCCAAGTCCTGCAAAGAAAAAAATAAGTAGTGTGCTTGGACTTAGCAAATAGAAGATACAATTGATTTACCATATGTAATGGCCATCAATTTTTTTGTACAAAAAATCATGTATGTATATATGGATGTGTGTATGTGTAAACACATACATGCATATGTACATCATGATATATCTACCAATTGCCAATGATCCCAAATGGGGATCAAGGAACGTGTTCTACAATGTTTCTATTGGAGCACATAAATAAGTCAATAATTAGCAATAAGAGCTGACTGTTAAATTCTGTGAAGAAATAATGAATTTTCTTGCCCTCCCACATTTCAGATCAAGTGAAAAAAAAAGTCCCAGCTACATTTGAATTTTAAATATACAAAATGTCATGCTTTAGTGTAAGTACTTCTCACATGATATTGCTTTTGCTAAACCTGGCAACAATGCTCAGTGTCATTAGTATCCAGAATTGAGTGGATGTTAGCTTAGATGTTAGATGTTAGATGTTAGATGTTAGATGTTAGGTGTTAGGTGTTAGCTGAGTGGATGTTAGCTAAGAGGAACTGAGAAGGGTCCTGGACCGCTCCTGAGCCAAGTGCCTGGTGTCACACTCCATCCCACAGCTCTGGGAGCAGCTCTTCGGAGGCAGGCAGCAGAGGCATCTGTTCTGTTTGCTTACCTGACCTGGAGAGCTCTGGAAGGTATTTAGAAGAGTGGAATTTGAACGGGGCCTTTAAGAGTAATAGAATTTAGCTAGATAGTGTGTGAAGGCACCCTGAAGCTTTGAGATAAGACAGACTCCCTCAACCCTTGAGGGTAGTATTTAGTGTAGAATGCTGAAAACTTAGCATGATCAGGTTAGGGATAAAAAGAAAACTCTAGATGATTGTAAGCCTTAAAATCTTAAGGATTTCAGCTGTCATGTTGGGAAATAGCATATTATTAATGTGTACACTAGGAAGCAAAACATAACCAAAGAAAAGTAAGTGATATGGAGAATTGTAGGGAGCTTCATAGTCCCGAGGTCTGGCATCAGCTCCTCCATTATGGACTGTTACTTCTATGATCACCATCTCCTGAACTGTGAACTGAAAATGATAAGTGAAGCTATTAAAAGCGTTGTTATGAGGCTGAAATGAAATTGTACCATATGTGGCACAGCGTGTGGTACTACACAGACATTATTGGCACCATATTGGGCTACTGCTGCCCCTCTCACCATTCAGGAGGGGACTGTCCTCCAGCAGCCGGCATGAAGGGTTTTGGAGAAATGAGAAAAAAAAAGAAACAATTGTTGATTTCTAAATTTATATATAGCTTGAAAATCACCTTTCCCAAGTCGAGATTGGATCACTTAAAAACTGAGAAGGGGGAGGAGGAGAAAGAGAAAGAAGAAGAAGAAGAGGGACAAGAAGAAGAAGAAAAGGGAAAGAAGAAAGCAATGAAAGCAGAAATAAGTTAGCAAAAATAATATTTAGGGGCTGGGGATTTAGCTCAGCGGCATAACTGCCTGTCTTGCAAGCAGGCAGTCATGAGTTCGATCCCTGGTACCAATAAAAACGAAAAAGACCAAAATAATAATAATAATAATATTTAACTGTGAAGTTTAAAATAACAATATTTAACCCTTCACTCTTTCTTTTAAGAGGGAATATAGTAAGGATAATTCGAATAATTTACACAGATCCAAAATCAAGCAAATTTTTTTAAAAGACTATATGTGTCACTCTTATATCTCTGATCTTATTTGGTTCATTTTGACTAACATTTAAATTACTATCAATAGAATATTGTTTCTAAAAGCCTTTTAACCAGCAAGGAGAGGTGAGGTTACTAGAGATAACTCATGAAGCAATTAGGTTTCTGTAGCGTAGGTGAAAGAGCTGACCGTGTTGGAGACTGCATCTTCGAGGAGTCACACTACTTCGATTCTAATCCCCCTCACAAGCTATGTGACTCAGGCCAGTCATTCCACATCTCTAAACCTCAGTTTTCCTTGTCAATAAAATGGAACCAATAGTAGCCCCTACCTCAAAGGCTATGTGCATGGCGTTTTCAGCCAGGCATCTGGTAAGCACCACACGGAATTCTGTAACCTTCGCATCACAGTCATCTTATTGGTGTGTGCTTTTCCTAGTAGACTTACTAAAAATTTAGTTTATGAAAGCATCTGCTTAATTTGTTTATGCTCTTTAGACACACCTTGATCTATGCAGCTAGGGCTGTTGGGAGCATTTTCCAAGCCACAGGGTACAATATCTCTATTGCAAATAATCTTTTGGCTTCAATTTTCATTATGTGTTCCTTTGTTCTACTCATTCATCTTTGATCTTAACAGGTTGAATGATGCCTTCCTAAAGACTCTAGTTTCAAACTGTACTTTAAGATATCTGGGTCTTATAATTTACTTGGTTCATAAACCTGTGATACAGAATTGGTTTAAGGTGTTACGGGTTACCTATTTGGAAGTTATGTTTTTATTTGGTTTGTGCTAAGCAATTTAAGAGCATCTCTCACATTGTCTTAAAAATGGTAGGCTCAGGTGTTGACTGAATAATGTATAACAAAGTGTGTTGCATTTTGCTTTCTGAGTGTGTCATTCTCTCACGTTGGAAAGTCTAACTTTAAAAAAAAAAGAAAAGGAAAGGAAAACATGCAGATACTTCAAGGCTAAAGTATTGAAAATGTGGATTTGGATATCCACTCACCATTCCTGTCTTCCTGAGGAGCTGTGGACTAAATCAAGCTTATGTTTCCATCAAAGTCCTTACATTCGTTATTCCCTCTCTCTGGAATGTTCTTTCCTCAGATTTCCCACGGTTCTTGTTAAGAGATCACCTCCTTAGAGAGATCCTCCGAGTACCTCATCTCAATTTTTTGCTACTTCTTTGTCTTACTCAGAATGTTATCATGACTGTTTCCCTTTGTCCGCCCCTGGACTAGAAGCACGCTGAGGGCAGAGGTCAAGCCTACAGGTTTCCAGTTGTTTTCCCAGCATCTGTTATAGTGACAGGTACTTAGTAGGCATTCAACAAATATTCTATCAATTAGTTAAATAAATAAAGACCAAATCCTGAGAGCTGATCTACTACAAAGCAGTAATTTTTAGTCTTTTTAGGCCGTTCACCTTTCAGAACTAGATTAAAATCCAAAAAAACTCTTCCTTTATAAACATTTTATGCAGAAATTTTTTCTTTTAATTTTTATTTGTATTAATTTTGTAGTGCATAATATAGTTCATCATGGACAGTTGATGCATATATATAGCATATCTTAATACACTTTCTGTTCCTTTTCCCTCTTCTCTATCCTTTGGTTCCTTTCCTATTTGCAAAAGATCCATCTCCCTGTTTCTATTATCTACCT